TACTGAAAGGAGTTTTTGGACTAGCTAGTACAATAAAGACATTTTAAAGCAGGCCTAAGCATGAGGATTAAGAGAAAAAAATGATCAAAGAAAAACATAAGATATATCTATCTGTGAGTATAGCTTCCCAATGGAAAGTGACCTTTACAAATGAGAAATTTATTTTATTATTCTTATTTTATGTGTATGAGTGTTATGCCTGCATGTATGTAAGTACATTCATGCAATGCCGTGGAGGTCAGAAGAGGGTGTTGGATCCCCTGGAACTGGAATTAGGACAGTTGTTAGCCACCATGTGAATGCTGGGAATCCAACCCGGGTCCTCTGCAAGAGCAATCAGTGTTCTTAACCATTGAGCCATGGCTCCAGCCCTGCAAATGAGAATTTTAAATATAGCATGCAAACTCTGTTTTTTTCTAGCTTTTATCTTAAAATAGACTATGATCTATTTCCACATAGAATTTTGCTTTGTTAGGAGATAAAGAACCAAGAGCAAGGTCAGGGGAGGAGATGAAGTAGGGAGTTATTCTTGGAATTTATCTTTAATTTTGAAATAACCTCTAAATATTTTAATTAATATCTTATTTATTTTTGTTATCTCCTTTTAACTTGCATGTAGTTTTTAAATATTTTTTAAACTTAAAAATATTTTTTTTATTTTATATGTATACGTGTATTGCCTGCATGTAGGTAAGTGCACCTGTTCTTGCAATGCCCATGGAGGTCAGAAGAGGCTGTCAGATCCCCTGGGACTGGAGTTACGGACAGTTGTTAGCTGACTTGTGGGTGCTTGGATTCAAACCTGGGTCTTCTGCAAGAACAACCAGTGTTCTTAACTGCTGAGACATCTCTCCAGCCCTAGTTTTTAAATATTTTGATTTATTTATGTGCATATGTCTGTGTATATGTGCCACATGCATGAGAGTGCCTGTGAAAGCCAGAAGAGGGAGTTGGAGCCCCTGGAGCTAGAGTTACAAGCAGTTGTGAGCCACCTGATGTGTGGAGAGACTAGCCATCTCTCCAGCCCTTCATGTAGTTTTAGAGCTCCTATTAATTATTGTAAATTACCAATTTTATCATTTCCTTTTTCAGATGATTTCACACTCCAATTAAAGCAGGATGCCAAATAAACCAATTTAGATGTAGTAAGTGCTCCCCATTGAGAAGAAACTTACTTTCAGATTTTTCCTTTTTTTGTTTTTCAGTAATCACTTAAACAGCCTTGTGGAAGGTGGAAGGTTCAGTGTGAAGGTACAGGTTCATCTGATGAGCAAGAACATGCAGTGTTTGTCTTTTTGAGCCTGAGTTACTCTACTCAATATAATATTTTCTAGTTCTGTCCATTTTTTTCAATTTTCATAATTTCTTTTTCTTCACAACTGGATAAAACTCCATTGTGCACAAGAACCACATTTTCATTGCTCATTCATCAGTTGATGGGATTCTAGGCTGGTTCTGTTTCCTATCTATTTTGAATAAAACAGCAAAAAGCAGGATACACAGCATCTCTATAAGAGGATGTGGAGTCCTTTGGGTAGATGACTAGGAGTGGTGTAGATGGGTCATGTAGTAGTTCTGTTTCTAGCTTTTTGAGAAACTTCTACAGATTTCCACAGTGGCTACACCAATTTACACTCTCACCAACATCGGATAAGCAGTCCTCTTCCCCATATCCTCCCCAGCATTTGTTATTTGTTTTCTTGATACCAGCCATTCTGACTGGGATGAGATAGTATCTTAAAGTAGTTTTAATTTGCATTTCCCTAATGGATGATGTTCAACACTTTTAAAAATATTTATTAGTCATTTGTCTTTCTTCTTTTGAGAATTCTGTTGAGATCCATAGTTCATTTTTAAAAATCAGACTGTTTTCTTGATGTTTAGTTTCTTGAGTTCTCTGTATTGTCTAGATACTAATTTTCTGTCTCATATATATATAAAGAAATAAATTGCTTGGAGCCTGGTGCAGATCAGAAGGGGAGCTTGTCTCTCAGAAAGATTTCCAGCTTGTCAGGCCACGTTGCTGGAGATATCAGAGCCCATATAAAATGATGGGTGGGAGCATATGCTGACCAGGGCTGCTTAGTTATCATACCTCTTGTCTACTTAAATCTACGCTTAATGTTAAAACCCCAAAGGTAAACTTAGGGAAAGGATTGTAACTGGAACTCTTTGTTCCTTTTCCCACTGTGGCCATATAGAATAAATCTTTTACTGTTTTCTTTTTAAATAATAACTGTCTTTAGCTGGCCTAATAAGAATGGGTGGTAGAACCTAGGTTGTTAGGGCTGCCAGGGCCTGGGCTTTGACCCTAACAACTCTGTTAATTTGACACAGAAACTAAAAAACATGGTTAATACAAGGCTACGCCTCTAGATAGAGGGGACTTCCAAGTCACCTTACTCCTGGGTACAGGTGGGAGGCATGGAAAAAAGACAATGTGGCCATCAACCTTGACCAGAAGTCTGGCTGATCTCGGAGCAGCCAGACTGGCCATCTACAACTCAAGAACAGCCTCAGCTTCATCTCTGGTTTACTGTCATGAAATCTGCTGTATGAGCCAGTTTGGCTAGGTCTCTTGAGCTCCCCGCTCTTTCCATATCACAGCCAGTGTCTTGGAATTTGGCCAGCAAGAGAGCCAGTGACAAATGCATCCTCTTGACACTGGATCAGAACTGTAAGCTGAAATAAATCTATTTTAATTATAGCTTACCCAGTCTATGGTGTTGTGTTGCTAGCAAGAGAAAACCCTCCAACACACCATACGTTTGAGTTGCCACTGTTGTTGACTACCCAGGTCCCACACAGATGTGAATCTTTTTTAAAGACTTGTCTGCTGCACTGATTGATCTGTTAGTGCACCAGCTCCAGGTTGTTTTAACTATTGTTTTATGCCTGTATCACACAGTGTTTTCCCTTTGTTGACAGTTTTTCGGGCTTCCTGGTTCTTTGTTAGATGTAGCATTTCTTAGGAAGTTTAAAGTCAAGTTAGTCTAAAACATACTTCTTTGTGTTTTTAATACATGTATTTTAATATTCCAAAAATATTCTGAATTTGAAAATACACATATGAGCACAAACAGAGTAGAGTAATGAACCCCACGGACCAACTGTGCCTAAGTGCAGTCACCACTGCATGTCCATCCTCTGTATCCTGCTTTCCAGCCATTTCTTCCTTACATAATTTGAAAAAGATCCAAGATGTATCATTTCATCTATAAATATTCACAAATAGCCAGGCCTGGTGGTGCATATGTTTAGTCCCAGCACTCAGGAGGCAGAGGCAGGCCGAACTCTATGAGTTCAAGGACAGCCTGGTCTACATAGCGAGTTCCAGGCCAGCTGGGGCTACAAAGAAACCCTGTTTCAAAAAGATTGCACCCCCAAATAGTCACAAATATAAGTCAAGAAATAAGAATGCTTATTTTTTAAAAGTGAGCCATTTGATAAATTGTGCCACATGTTAAACATTTATTTATTGATTTACGATTACATTTTTTTGCGGGGGGTGTGCATGTGGAAATCAGAGAAAAGTTTGCAGGTTGACTGGTTCTGTCCTTCCTCCATGTGGGTTCCCAAGATCAAACCTAAGTGGTCAAACTTGGCAGCAAGTGCCTTTTCCTCTCTGTACCATATCTCATCAGCCAAAGAATGCAATTTTGGAGACAAGATCTGACTAAACAACCTAGGCAAGCCTCAAACTTGGGCCCTTCCTACCACAGTTTCCCCAGTACAGGAATTACTGATGTTCTGTCTCCAGATCCAGAAAGAACTCTTTAAAAGAAAACTAGAATACCATTCTCAAAGAAACTTACACACAGTATGTTTTAGCAATAATTCTTCTTGCTCCACTGCTGTGGATGGAACCCCATCCCTCACTCATGCTGACAAGAGTTGTGTCACTCACATAACCCCCAGTCCCTTCGATTAACACTTTACTGTCTTAGAGCTCCATAAATACTGCAGCACTCGGGTTGTAGTTGAGACTGGTACCATTCTAAATGTGCTTAAAGAGGATTAGCCTCTTCACAGCTGAGTCAGGCTTGTCATTTATTAAAACTTCTTCTAGTCATTTTCTCCTGTTTGGGATTTTCTCCTGTGCACATTTTCCTTTCTTCTTTAATATGATCCTTATAGCCTTTGCTATGGCTTTTATAAATTATGCTTAAGCTGATCATTGGTTTTATTTGTGACTTTGAGTTATATGTGGTGGTTTCATGACTACCAGCCTACTTTGAGATTTTTAAATGCTTATATTTAGCTGTATATTTATTATATGTGTGTTTACGCATGGAGGCATGTATACCATGGCACGTGTGGTGGTTAGAGGACAACATGTAGGAGATGAGTCTTTGCTTTCACCATGTATGTTCCAGGAATTGAACTCAGATCATCGGACTTGGCCCCAGGTGCCTTTACTGGCTGAGCCATCTTGCCGGTCCTTGTTTGTAATTTTTAAAAAGATACTTTATTGAATTCCAAGGTGCTCATCAAATTATTTGCAAATAATCTAGGCTAGTAATGGTCACTGATTTTTAACTTTATTTAAAATTTACCTGTTGCTTATATATTCGTATTGCCCAGGGCATCCAGATGGGAGTTGGTAACAGTGAGTGTAGTGGACATTGTACAAGGTGCAGAGCCGTTATGAGGATGCCTCTTTTAAAAAATTTTTTTGATTAACTTTTATTTTTTGTGTATGAGTGTTTTCTGTGCATGCATATAAGTGCACCCATGTTGTACAATGCCCATGGAGGCCAGAAGAAGGCATCAATCCCCTGGAACTGGAGTTACAGATGATTGTTAGCTGCCATGCGGATGCTGGGAATTGAACCCCGGTCCTCTGAAAGTGCTTTTAATCACTAGGCCATCTCTCCAGCCCCTTGAGGATAACTTCTGAGGGAGACTCTCTTCTAAATATAAAAACACCTCTTAATGTTCTAACAGGATGATACATCCTCACAGAGTAAACTACACGGATGTTGAATTGCCATTCATAGTTTTATTAGTAAAATTCATTCACTTTTTACCAGCTAGTAGGAGTGAGCTTGATGTTTCCCTCCCACTCCCAATCTTTGATTCTTAGGGGTGCAATCTAATGTGAGGGAATAAGCATCCTTGGACGTGGCTGAATGATCGCGGCTTTCCGTTCCAGCTCTTCTTAGGTGTGATCATTGGGGGTGCCATGGACCCTGAATCGGTACAAACAAGTATACTTTGGATGTCCCCAGTTGCTAAGGATTTTAAGTTTCACACATAACAAAGAGTCAGAAACTTCTTTCTGGAAATAAAGAAGACATTAATGTCCTATAAAGAAAATTGTGTGAAAGAATCCCACCCAATTCTCATATGTTGGGAAGTTTTCAAACTTTTCTTCCCTAACACGAACATCTTCAATCCTGGCCTGATAGATGAGAAAATGAGCTACTGCAAGGACAGAGCACATGAGCAGACCTAGGTAGGGGGAGGAAGAAACTAAGGTGGTCGAGGTATGCCTCCCTGCTGCAGTCTCGCCTCACACTCTTCCCTGCTGTGCTGGGAAGAGGAGAGTGTTGAATGAAAACCAGTCCTATCTATAAAACCAACTGTAAAAATATTTGAGCTGGGTATACACCTGTAATCCACCACTCTGGAGGCTGAGATAGGAGAATCATGATGGGAAATTTCTCTTTCAGAGAAATTTCTTTATAGACTGAGATTCAGATCCACACCCAAAACAAAATAGACCAAAAATAAAAACAAACCAAAGCAAACACATGAGCCCAAATACACACGAATATGAAAATCAGACATGAAACTCTACAAATATGTTCATTTTTGTGAACATCCCCCTTGGCATCTGTTGGGGAGGGGGATTTGGGGTGGGCGCCAAGGCCCCCTGCCAATACCAGATTCACAGGTGCACAAGTTCCCCATGCAAATGGAATAATATTCTTATAGAAGTTATGGACAGCCTTCCTTGTGCTTAAGACCATTTCCAGATGCCTTATGACACCAAACACAATGCAAACACTGTAAATATTTGCTGTGCTGTATTGCCTAAGGTACAGTAACAAAGAAAACACCCTCATGTGCTTAGTACAGATATATACATTTTTCAAAGATTTTCATCTTGGTTGGTTGAATCTGTGTGAAATTAGTGTATGTGGAGTCCTGCTTGTGCAGTGTTTGGGGCTTAGTTCTTTCTCATTGTTGACCAAGAAGTGTCATAAACATCTGTTCCTACATAATAAGAGCTGCTTTCTACATCTCCTCAGTTACTTCCTGTGACTCATGATAGATAATGAAGATATATTTCACACCCTTTAGGGCACTTCAGGGAGTCCGTCAGTTAGTGGTATTTCCCCCAATGGGTCATTAAATAAATACAGCATGAAACATTGTCTGAGTTCCTCGGCGTTCCTCCCTCCCTCTACCCATCTCACATTGCACCTTCAATCACAGTCCCTTTCCTCAAGGGAGATGGGATGGTGACTTGCAAACAATTTCTCAGTGCTAGACTGCTCTCCTAGCATGTGCTGGGTGCATGATTAAGAAAGAAAGCCCCGAGAAACGAAATGTACAAGGGAGCGATAGCAAGTGAGGATGAGTTAGAAATTGCTTTTCCAAAAGTAAAATTATAAAAAAAATTAGTTACCCATCTTTTACAATTAAATGTTGCATCAGTTACATAAAATTAAATTTTGTGCATCAAACACTCACCAGCACTTGAGGTGAAGAGCTGAACTGTGATTGCCCTGCTGGGCTCCTGCTTCTTTTGTAGTTATTTTCAGACACCACTTCCCAGGCAGCAATTCCAGCCAATCCCTCAGTGATGGAGCCAAGCTTACCTTAGCATTTCCCAGGGGATCCTTACCTGGAGTTCAAAGGTTTGAATGGTTGTTTCTGTTTTGTTGTATGTAAACTGACCTAGGAATATTTCTTCTCCTTCACATTTTTTCATGATGCCCTACAAAAAAAAACAGACATGGAGGCTGTGATGAGTGGATGTTTAATTGAGATCAATGGATGCAGGTATTTAAGTAGCAACGATGCACCTGGAAGTGCGTGTGTTGGAGCTGGTCACAGCTCAGTGGGTAAGATCGCTTGTTGTATAAGCTTGAGGACCTGAGTTTGAATCCCCAGCATCCATAGAAAACTCTGGGCAAGGCTACATGCATGTGTGTAAACCCTAACATTGGAGGACAGAGACAGATTCCAGGAACTCAATGGCTAGCCATCATAACCCAAATGGCAAGCTTCCTGTTCAGCGAGAGGCACTGTCTCGGGGTAATAGGGCCAAGAGCAAGAGAGGAAGAAGTTGGTTTATAAACTCTTAAACATAGAAGGAAAATGAGAAGTAATTTTTGTTGCTAAAAGATTCCTGCCTGAAGGAATCATGCAAAGGGCCTGCAAACGATGGACAGTAAAAAGTGTACATGTACAGGGCCTGCCCCAATTCACCTCTAACCCAACTCCACAGTGCACACTGGCATTAGAGGCTAGAGTCTGTTAGTTCTGGCACCTTGGATTCAGAGGCACTGGGGAGTACTGTGGTGGGCTGCTGACCACTGTGTCCACCTCCAGGAAGCAACATCAAAGGACAGAGGTAAGGAAGGCCCAAGCCTTCTTGGGAAAATGGAGGTAGGCATTCAGACAGAAACCATGGGCAAGGTCAAGTGGCAGAGGAAGGAAACAAATTCCTGTGGCTGGAGGTGAAACCAGAAGCATGTGGACTTAGACTGCAGGAAGGGCCCAGAGTCGGGGCCATGGGGTGCCAGAGGACAGGGAGCTGGAGGGCTCAGAGCTGAGGCTTGACTGACAGTCACTTCAACAAGTGATGAGAGCCCTTTCTACAGTGGTTCCTTTCTTCCCACACCCATGCTCCTGACAGAGCTCTCTTCCTGAGCCAGCTGCCTGTGCAGCTGAGGCCTGCTCCACATGCTTCCTTGCTAGCAGGTCTCAGCAGACCCAGCTAGCCAAGCTGACACCTCCCACATGCAGGATTCCTCTCAAAGCCAACTGGGCTGACTCCACACTCCAGGCCCTTCAGAAGAGCATCAAAGAAATTCAAGAAAATGGTACTTGCAAAAAATATAGGAGGAAGCAGAAGAAAATGAAACAGAACTGATATTGATCAGTATCTTCAGATGAAAAAAAAAAGATACTGTATCCATGAAAGGAAAAAAAAAACAGACTCTTAAAATGATTATTTAGGGGGCTGGCTGGAGAGATGCCTTAGTGGTTAAGAGCACTATCTGCTTTTCCAGAGGACCCAGGTTCAGTATCCAGCACTCATGTGGAGGCTAACATCCTTAACTCCAGTTCCAGGAGATCCGATGCCCTCTTCTGGCCTCTGTGGGCACCAGGAACATACATGGTACACTTACATACACACAGACAAAACACTCACACACATAAAATAAAAATAAATAAAATATTTAAAAATGAATATTTGTAGAAGCCAAAGTCTTAGAGACTATGATCATGATTTTTTTTTACATAGGATTTAACATAAAGTCTTCCAGAAGAGGAACATAAATCAAGGAAGGAAAATAAGAAACAATCCTTGGGATGCAGGAATGACATCCCACAAACACAGTTATGTACCAGGCTCATGTAGCATTATCAGACTGAGCAGAAGCATAGAAGAGCTCCAAAGGGGATGAGAGGGAGGGGATGGGGAGGGAAGCATAGCTTGTCTGACCTGAATTAACAATGGGAGAGTATGTGCACCTCTCATGAAGAGACTGGGAATGGTTTAGAGATAGACTTATACCAAATTGAAGAAAATTGATAGAAATGTGGTGGTTATCTTGCAAAACATCTAAAACTTATGCAGTTTTTTAAAAAAGTAATTTTCAAGCACACTATGTGGCCCAACAGAGGGCAATGCTGTGTAGTTACCATGGAAACAGACTACTGCTTAGAACAGAAAGTAAGATACACATCTCTTCTGAGTCCCAAACATGAAACAGAGTTAGCAATTCCACCTCAGGTGCACACTCCACAGAAAGAAAAACCAGCATCCACACAAAACTTCTACACAGATACTCACAGTATCATTCATAATAGCCAAAATCCTTGAAATAACTCAGCCACCAACTGATGGATAAGTAAATACACATACAATTAATATTTATTCTGGGACTCCTTTGAGGGGACAACAAAAGCATTCTAAAATTGTGGTGGTAGTAGATACAGAACTAAATATACTAAAGCCACCGAAGTGTGCACTTCACGTGGGTGAGTGTATGTGATGTGACGTGCATGCCCATAAACACCCATTTGAAGACATAAAGATGCTGGATGGATGGAAACACAGAAGAGAGCTGATTTTCATTTTCTATTGGAAGGTGCCATCAAATAACCAAAGATGAAAAACCAAGACATAATGGTAAAATAAAATGTGGAGGTAGGCACCCATATAAATGGATAAAGTTGTAACAAATGGAAGCTTTAGAATAATAAGAATTGGGGCCACTTTAGAATAATAAGAATTGGGGCCAGGGATCAGTGGGAACATGCATTATAAAGTGTGTGGAAATATCACACATTTTAGTTGTACATGTGTGACTTTTTAGTTATAAGGTAAAAAATATAAAATCAATCATAAAAATCCTCTGTTCCAACCCTTGCAGTTTGGAGCTAACAAGGCAAAAGCCCTAGAGGTAAGGTATAAACCTAATTATTGCACAATTGAAATGAGAGTTTAGGGCCGGGGATATAGCTCAGTGGTAGAGTGCTAGCCTAACCTGTGTGAGACCCTAGGTTCAATCCCCAAAGACATGAGTCTAGCTCCAAATTCCCAGCTAACCACCTTCCATTACAATTTAGTTTGAATGTCAAGTTTAGACAGCTTCTCACATAGACAGAGAACTCCTTGGGTGCACTGGAGGTGTTTCCTGAGGGCGACACCTTCTCCGAGATGTGCTCCATGGTGACAGCTGTTGGTATGATTTTCCTGGCTAGCTTGATTAGGATATGACCCTGGGAACCTGGAAAGGCCCAGCATTTTCCAGGGTGGACATCTGGCTGGAAAGAAAACATTGAGTTAATCTTCTCTCTGAGTACTTAAATCTATCCCTACAATACTGATCACCTCACCACTAGTAGATTCTAAGAGTCTCATGCCTACAGCATAAAGGTATTCCTCAGGATACCTGTCAAGAAGGAGAACTTCCCAAACACCCCTAGGTCTGGATGTTCTTCCAGAGTACTTTATGCTTCTGTCCATTAGAGCCCTTTATCACGTGAGCAGATTTTCTTTTACTGCTGTAATCAGACGGAGAGCTAAAAGGCAATAAGGGGTGGTAGTGATGATGGTGCTGATGAAAAAGTGCTGGTGGTGATGATGGTGGTGCTCATGCTGGTACTAGTGAAGACAGTGCTGATGGTGCTGGTGCTAGCGAAGATGGCACTAATGGCAATAGTGATGGTGTTGATAGTGGTAGTGATGCTGGTGATGATGCTGGTGAAGACAGTGCTGATAGTGATGGTGCTGGTGCTAGTGGTAATGGTGATGGTGCTGAACAGTGCTGGTGGTGATGGTGGTGAAGATGACAGTGGCTGTTGTGGTTATGATGAAAGGTGATGGTGGTGGTGGAAGTGACATTGATGGTGATGGTAGGAGTGATGGTGGTACTAGTGATGGCTAGTAGGGATGGATGATGATGGTGATGGAGGCTTTGGCAATAAAAATGAAAATATTCTTTTTCTAGATGTAAATGATAGTCTGGCAAAAGATTGTAGGTTTGTCTCTGAAGGTACTTCTAAGTTTGAAACCAACTTCAGATGTGTGGGTCATAGTTGAGAAGTTCTCTACTATATATTGAAATCCATGACCTTTGAAAGTGAAGGAAAAGGCTAAGTGGAAGAAATTTCTCCTGTTATAATTAAACTTAATAAGAACATATGGGCTGGGGCTGGAGAGATGGCTCAGCGGTTCGGAGCAATGACTGCTCTTACAGAAGACCCGGGTTCGAACCGTCCTTAACTCCAGTTTCAGGGGAATCCGAAGCCCTCTTCTGACTTCTGCAGCATTGCATGACACGGGTGCACTCACGTACATGCAGGCAATACACTCATACACATAAAATAAAAATAATAAAGAAAATATTTAAAAAAAACATACGGGTTGCCTAGCACTTAATACAGGACTGGCATTTGGAGAACAAGCTTTTTCAACAAATTTTTGTTGAATGATTAAAGTTTTCAATGGAAAAGGGAGGTCATAGAAGCAACAGAAATGAAAGGCATGGAATTGTATGTTTTGACAAGCAAAGTCTAGTTTTCTGATCTTTAAAACATAATTAACAATAGTTTACTAATTATGAAATAAATAATTCATGCACTGTAATAATGTTATAGGAAGGAAAGAAGATTCCAGGTTCTATAGGAAGCATGGGTATCCTTGCCTCCATTTAAACATGAACGTTTTTATGATGTATGGCAGAAAAATCCTAAAATAGAAGTGGTTTGGTCTTAATTTCACTTTTACCTGAAGAATGATGTCTGGAGGCATCTCGTAATTTAAGAACCTGAGTCCATAACAGTGTAGTTTTGCTTTATTATTTTTGTAACTTTCTGAGGTCCCAGCTTCAATGATGGAGGCTCCTAAAATTATAAGACATTTAAATTTTTTTTAATTATGTACAGGGGCTGGAGAGATGGCTCAGCAGTTAAGAGCACTGACTGCTCTTGCAGAGGACCCGGATTCAATTCCTAGCACCCACATGGTGGCTACGAACCGTCCTCAACTCCAGTTTCAGGGGAATCCGAAGCCCTCTTCTGACCTCTGCAGCATTGCATGACATGGGTGCACTCACATACATGCAGGCAATACACTCATACACATAAAATAAAAATAACAAATAAAGTATTTAAAATTACATTTAAAATTAAACATGCCATCTGAATTTTAATGATACCCTTGGGAAAATGTTACTGGGACTATCATACAAGGTAAAACTTATACTCAGGAATCAGGAAAGGTACTACTGAAATTCTATCATTTTCAGAAAGTCATTTTGTTTATTTTTTGTTTGCTTTTTGAAATAGGGCCTCATTATGTAGCCAAGGCTGGCCTTGAACTTGTAGCAATCCTCCTGCCTTAGCACCCTAAGTGCTTGGAGTAAAGTTATGTATCATCACAACCCACTAGAAAATCATGTTTGCTCTGTACAGTTTCACAAAATTTATAAAATTAATTTATGATAAAAATTAAATCCTAGAGCAATTGAATCAAGGCTGGAAATAATAGGTGTATTCTGTTCATTATTCAAAAGATGAGACCCAAAATGGAAAGGCAGAAAAGTAACAATGTTATTGTGTCCTCTGAGTTATATTCATGATAGTAATTATGCAATTTCACCGAACTTCAAATTTTGCAAGAGTTTTAGTTATAACTAAAGAAATACTAAACACTCTTTAAACATTATCTTTCAAGTTATTTCATTTTAGGAGGAAAATATATTTTAGACATAAGCAATTTTAAAATGAAAATTACTTCCTCAAATTTCATTTGAGTAACCCAGTATAACATCATAGTACATGTGCTTGATGAACTATCTGGTTTCTAGCACCTTTGCTGGGACAGTGCAATTTGAAATATTAAATGTGTGCCCAGATTTGCTACATCCAGCAAGTAAGCATGCAAGTCTCCCATTTAAATTTGAAATTTAGGTGAAGAATGATTTCAGTGATAGTTACATGTCGTACAATATTTGAGACTTAACCTAAAGTTATTCTCCATCTGTCTAAAATTAGAATTCAGTCTGAGCATGGTGGTGCACACCTTTAATCCTAGCACTCAGGAGGCGGAAGCAAGCAGATCTCTGTGAGATCAAGGCCAGCCTGGTCTACATAGTAAGTTCCAGGTCAGCTCTGGCTACCAGGGAAACGCATCTCAAAAAACCAAAAATAAATAAATAAATTTAAACAGGCATCCTTTCTTTATCTGGCAACTTTAGACACAGTTTTGGAGGTTGATACTCTCTGCTCTACACTCTATCCTTTAACATCCCTACTCAAAGACTGACCGGACAGGAAAACCCTTTCACATGCTAAGCTAACCTAATGACTGATTTTCCCCACAATTTTCTCAAGAAAAAAATCAAACTGTAGAATTGTGGGGTTTTAAAATAGCTCACGTATTCATTTAGAGTTTTTTTTTTTTTTTTTTTTTGGTCTTTTTGAGACAGGGTCTCCCTGTAGCCCTAGCCGGCCTGGAGCTCACTATGTAGACCAGGCTGGCCTTGAACTCACAGAGATCCACCTGCCTCTGCCTCCCGAGTGCTGGGATGAAAGGCGTGCGCTACCACGCCTAACTAGTTTTTCTTTTTAACCAACTTTATTGAGACATAATTCATGTACCTGATCCTTTACCCATTTAAAGATGCAATTCATTGTTTTTTTGTTTTTTTTTTAAAGCATATTTAGAGTTACGCAGTTCTCAACACAGCAAAGCTTAGAATGATGAATCTGGTCCCATAGCAATTATCAGTCTGCCTCATTTCTCCCAACATCCAGCCCCAAGCCCAGACAATCACTAATCAGTCTGTGCTTAGAAATATGTCTTTTATAGACACTTTTTCTGCTATGCCCACGGCAGGCATCCTTTTGTGCACAGCTACTTTGATTCAGCGCAAAGCACCTGAGATTCATGGATATAGTAATGAGTATCAGGAATTATTCCTTTAAGTTGCCTGCCGAGTGCTTTATTCATGGGTAAGTGGGCATTTGGGTCATTTCTAACTTGGATGATTACTAATCCAGTTGCCATAGACCTTCTTGTTTGGATTGTGTTTGCGGTGCTGAGGATTGAAGCCCAGCCCTCGGGTATACTAGGTAGGCACTCTTACCACTGAGCTGTCCTCCCAGCCTCATCATGCAGGTTTTGAGGTAAACGTGAATTTTATTTTCTCTTAAGTAGATACCTAGAGGTGGCATGGCACATGGCTAGGTCATTATGATTATATTTAACTTCATATGAAGCTGCTAGTCTGTCTTCCAAAATGCACATTATATTTTCGATAGTTGCATACACTAGCCTCAGGGCTTTTTCCCCAGTGTCAGCAGCATATGCTGCTTTTGTTTGCTTACCGTTCTGATAAACAGACACTGGAAAATCGCTGGCTTCAACTTGCATTTCACTGATGAACAGGAATGTCCAGTATTGTTTCATGTTTCTTTTTTAAAAAATTTTTTATTATTTTTATTTTATGTGTATAAGTGTATTGCCTGCATGTATGTAAGTGCGCCCGTGCCATACAATGTCGCGGAGGTCAGAAGAGAGCTTCTGATTCCCCTGGAACTGGGGTTAAGGACGGTTTGCAGCTGCCATGTGGGTGCTGGGAATCGAACCTGGGTCCTCTCCAAGAGCAGTCAATGCTCTTAACCGCTGAGCCATTGCTCCAGCCCCTTGTTTCATGTTTCTTTTACATCCAAATTTTTTAATGAAGTGCTTTCTGATCTTTCCCTATGTTTTAAATTTGGGTTTCTGCTTTCTTATTATTGAATTTCAAGACTATAAATTTTAGATCCAAGTGCTTTGCTAAATATGTGCAGATATTGTCTCTCCAGCCTCGGTATTGCCTCTTCATTCTCTTGAGAAGTAAATATTAACAGGGCCTAAACTATCCATTCTTTTCCTATTTGTAATGCCTCGGTGTTTTCTTTAAGAAATCTTTTCCTAAACTGAGGCTGGAGGAGTAAGAGTTCAAGGCCAAAATGGGCTACAGCATGAGTTTAAGGTCAGCTGGGTAAATTATCAAAACGCTGCTTCAAAATAAAGTTTTTAAAACTCCAGGAATATATCTTGAAGATGGGCACCTGTGTAGCATGCAAGAGGCCGTAAGTTCAATTCCCTGTACCACAAATACAAATTAAAAGTATCTTTTTTTTTCTAAATTTTTACTGCAGAAATGTTGTAACTTCAAGCTTTACATTCAGGCCTATTGACCTATTTTAGACTAAGTTTTGGAAAATGTGAGCCGAGGTTTATTTTTGCAAACGAATGTCTACTGCTCCAGCACCACTGACTTCACTTTTCTGTGTCACCAAAACCCAAATCATTGAGTCTATGTCAAGTGTCCCTGTACTATATGTGTCTTTCCACGATTTCACCAATCCGTTATTGAAAATTCCAGCCTCATCCATTTTCAAACCGATTTGGCTCTTTTTCTTCCTTTTGGATTACTTGCAATGCTTTAGAACAGCCTGTCAATTTCTATATCTGTTCTGCCTGGAATTTTTCTTTAGTGTTATGCTGAACTGACAGACCAGCTGTGGAATATTGCAATGTTAACAGCATAGAATCTTCCAATCCATGGGTATGGAATGTTGGCCACTTATTTAAGCCTTTATTTCTTTCATTAGTGTTCTGTTTTTAGCACATGGATGGCATGCGTTTTCTGAGGCATGCACCTAAATATGTCATGGTTTTATTAGCATTGTAAATAATACTATGCTTAAATTTCAAGTTTTTATTACTAATTAATAGAAATAATTCTCTCTCTCTCTCTCTCTTACACACACACACACACACACACACACACACACACACACACACACACACACACACACACACACACACACACGAACCTGTAACCCTCACTTATAGTAGATAGTTTGGGTTGCTTTTTCTATGTCAGCAATTACATGGCTTACAAGTAGAGGTATTTTATTTCATCTCCTCCGGTTCACTGGCTTCTCTTCCTCTCTCCCTCTCTTTCTTTCTCCCTCTAGTCTGTTTCCTGTCTTAGTTGATTGGTTAAGACTTCTGTTGAAATGGAGAGAGTGGGCACCCTTTGTCTCTTGGGAAATCGTTGAGCCTGTCACGGACACCTGCAATGTCAGCTTAAGGAACTGCACAGGCGCCCTCTATCAGGCTGCAGAGAATCTCTCTCTAGTTTATTGAGAATTTTTTTTATCATAAATGAATTGAACATGGTTAAATGATTTTAATTGATCTAATTTGATCATGGATGATCAGATTTTTAAATCTGTTGATGTAACAAATTACACTGATATATTTTCCAAAGACAAAGAAGGCTTTTAAGTCCTAAGAGAAACCCTTCTTAGTCACATAGTTATCATCATCCTTGTATTCCTGAATTCAGTTTGCTAGTATTCTGTTGAAGAACACTACAAAATTATTTTAAAAGAGGGAGTAGGTGGGAGAGTGGAACCATTTGAGATTAGAATTTTTTTATTTATTCACTTTATCGTTATCACAGTACTGAGAAACCAACTCAGGACCTTTTCGTACTGTAGGCAACACTCTATCACTGAGCCACATCCCTAAACCACCTAGGCACACTCTTAGGCCACTGAGCCATATCCCTAGACCATGGAGCCACATCCCTAGATCACTGAGTTACATCCTTAGATCACTGAGCCACATCTCTAGACCACTGAACTATATCCCTACACTTAGCTTTCTTCTCAGAAAGGTTTTACGTACATGGTTTCTCTAATAAATACATTATTCACTTCTTGAGAGACTTCTGATAGTTTGTATGTTTTGAGAAATCAATTCACTTCATTTGAATTGTCTTTCACACGTCCCTTTCCTCTTTCCCTCTCCACGCTTCCTAGATCATTGTGAGATTAGTAAGGTAATAATTTAACCACCTAAGTTCTTAAGAATTAATTTTAATTGCAAGATGTTAAGCCCATTACTTTGTAAACAACCTTTAGACATGGCTTGTAATCACTAATAAAGCATGTCATTGTAGTACAGAATAATGTAAGATGTTATCTGGTTTGCTGTGCTTAAATGTTTTCTGCCTGCCCGACTTCCCTGTGGCAGGGAAGCTTTCTTTGAGGTCCTTCTAGATACAAGCTAATGAAGCTGCCCAGTTTGCATTCAGGGAGCAAATGGGGACAGTCATTTCTAACATTTTCTTTTAAATCTAGATTTTTCTATTTTGCCCCTTCTCACCACCATATAGATGTGTGTCTTTATCTAATAAAGAAATTTAAACTGCTTCGAAACAGTCCGTTTTTTAAGTTTTTGTTTGTTTGTTTGTTTCTGGGGCTGGATAGATGGCTCAGCAGTTAAGAACACTGACTATTCTTGCAGAAGATCTGGGTTCAAATCCCAGCTCCTACATGGCAGCTAACAACCATCTATAACTCCATAACTCCACTTCCAGGGGATCTGAAGCCCTCTTCTGTCCTCCAAGGGCATTGCATGACGCAGGTACACACACACACACACACACACACACATATATATATATATATATATATATGCAAACAATACACTCATACACAAAAACTAAAATAAATTAATTTTTTTCTGCTCGTCTTTTCAAAAAGCTGTTTTATACTCACCTGCTGACTTCAAGGCATAATCAGCCATCTGCACTTGGTCTCCTCTCAACTTTTTAAGTACATAATGCACCAAGTTTGACATCTCCTGTAAAAGTGTAAGAACAGTTTCTCTACCAACTGCTTGAATTTTCACTATTCATTTCATTGACTTGGATCTGAATGCCTCAGTCTACAAAACCTTAACAGTCCGAAGGGCTCCCAGCTGCCCTCAGAGCCAGACACTACACCTGTACTTAGAATGTCTCTTACAATTATGTGGGAGGGACTCTTCTAAGGCAAGTGAAGGAGCTATGTATAAGCTCAGGACCATGGTCATGTAGCAAGGTGGACCTAGGCCCCTCCACCTCCAAGCTGTCCCCACTGTATTATGGTGTGAGCTAAAGCTAAGGTATATTAGGGACCATGGCCACACAGCAAGGTGGACCTGGGGCTCCTTGGAATCCCTCCCCATTCACAATGGTGCCTCTCATGGGGTAAGAGGGGTTAGGTCACCTGTGTTGCTGTGTCCCTAACTGGTGTCCTATGCTAAATAACAAAGACCGGAATGTTCTATAGTTATCTTGGCATCAGGCAGTTACAAAGGCCTAATGACTGTCTATGTTAACAATTTTCATCCACTTAGTTAATACTGGGCTCTGAAGGCCCTCTTATTCAAAAATAAACAAGTACCCACCCCACCCCCCCAGCAGGTGCAACAGTTGAAATTGTCGTTGACCACCCTATAACACTGAGTCACAGTGACAAGGACAAGGTGGGGCCTGGAAGTCACAGAAGGCCAGGGTCAGATTTCTGTTTGCTTTAAAATATGGATGTGAGCCGGGTACGGTGGTGCACGCCTTTAATTCCAGTACTCGGGAGGCAGAGGCATGCGGATCTCTGTGAGTTCAAGGCCAGCCTGGTCTACATAGTGAGTTCCAGTCCAGCTGGGGCTACAGGGAGACCCTGTCTCAAAAAGACAAAAGAATAAAAAAATAAATAAAATAAAATATGGATGTGAAGAAGGGAAAATGGTAGCACAGAGAAGCTCCTGGGCATTCATCATCATCTGACTGACTCTGGTGCCCTCCAAAGGCACAGATCCGAAGACAGAAATGAGAAGCTCTTGCTACCAAGTGTTTGCTGCAGACATTCAGATGCTGCTATTTCTGAACCACTGTTTGTTTGGTTTTTTCTTGGGAAATGAAACCAAATCAGTGATTTATTTTGCAAGAAGTAAGTCATATTGCACACAATGTCCTGGGACACAGCATGGGTGGAGAAGTGGGTATCTAGGAGCAGTGTTGGTGAAAGGAAACCAGTGTTGGGACTTTCAGAGGACACAGGCTGAAGGTCAGTTGGCACCCAGTTCTCCAGCCTGGAAGGAATGGGATCCCAGGGCAAAATGTCCCGCCCCTACCCTCCACAGCCACAGCCCAGCCCTCCTTGCCTCGTCCAGAACCCCAGTGCTGTTCTGGTCCTGCTCAGCATCTCGGTGAGCTGGCCAACTGTGATTGTACATGCCATCCTTCATGTCTCTAAGTAATGCCTTCAGAACATCTATTTGTTCAATTAAAATCAGAATTTCACGAAAATTGTTCTCCAAAGTCTGACTTTCCTTCCTGTACACAAAAGAACCACAAGGTAAAGCAAGAAGGCAGTGAAGTTCCTAAGATCAGTTTCAAGGTCAGGAAAGGGGGTGTGTCACTGAGGAAGAAAGGGATGTCCAGGGAGGGAAAGCAGGGGGTGCACATTCATGTGATCAGTGCATTTCACTATGTAAGGAAAGCAAACTGGGCACCCAGAAGACCTGTGTCTGAGGGTGTCCTGATGCTTGGCTTTTCTTCCTTGAGCATGCAGGATGCAGTCAACCTTGTTTGTTCTCAGCTGGCTGACTTCACAGGAGAATGCTAAACCCCGGTGTCACCCCCCTACAAGCTGGGACACTTTGCATTTCAAGTGCAGCACAGTGCAGTGGTTTTCAAGTGTAACTAGGGCAGAGGTGGCTGAGGGCATAGCCAAGAGAAGCCACCTGTCTCTGACTTTCCAGCCTGGGTGTGCAAGATTGTCTTTTAGTCATTTGACCACTTTCTAAACTGAACGAATGCTTCTTTATGTAGAAAAAGTATATTATCTACTTGTCTAGTTTTTCTTCCAGGTTTTATAGTAAGTGTTTAAATTTGGGAAAATATGAACATTTCAAAGAAATATAGGCTATTAAATTTTGGAATGTTTCACATTTTATTCCGCAGAAATCAGCAACAAGCTAGAGACTGCACTGATCAATGTGTATCTCAAAATATCCTAAAATCGTTACATGTATTTTACAATGATTTTAATGGCATCACAATTCCCCTTTACGTGTATGGACTTGAATGTCCTTAATTATTGGCTTAATTTCTCATCTAGGTTGATTTCAATGCTTTATGATGTAAACAATATTGAAAAGATACTAGTGTACATTTTATTAAGGAATGATTCATAAAAGGAAAGTTATTTCCTAAAGTAACAAAAATTTTGGTTTGATTTACAGGTTAATGCTTAGTATAAAGAACAAAAATATGGAAAGATATAAGAAAGATAATTCTCTGGCTGGGCGTGGTGGTGCACACCTTTAGTCCCAGCACTAAAGGAGGCAGAGGCAGAGGCAGGCGGATCTCTGTGAGTTCAAGGCCAGCCTGGTCTACATAGTGAGTTCCAGGACAGCTGGGGCTACAGGGAGACCCTGTCTTAATAAGGACCAAAAAAAAAAAAAAAGAAAAAAAAGAGAAAGAAAGAAATTCTCCAGGATTTCACTCCTGAATTCACAAACATTGCTATTTGGCTACATTATCCTTTCCTTCTCTGTGAATACACACAGAAAAGAACAAGTAATGAGGGAGGGCAAAAACAGAACTAAAGGGTCAAGCAGTCAATTTGTGCATATTATATTTTAAAACTGAGTGATCTTATTGAATTTACCAGGAGGAATCAGCCTGAGAAAAATTGTTCTTCCTCAGTTATGCACACGTTGATTGACTGACTGATTGATTGATTGATTGATTCATTCATTCATTCATTCATTCATTCATTCATTTTTTGAGACAAGCAGCCAGTTTGTACCCCAGGATGACCTGGAACTCTCTATGTAGCCCAGACTGGCTTCAAACTGAAGATCTTATTGCTTCAAAATCCTGGGTTCTGGGATTATTGGAAGATGTCAAGCCCAGCTAAACACAGTATTTTAAATAGATCTGACTTTTTGTGGTAGCTAAGAGGAAATGGCCAGAAAAAAATACTCCCAAATTTAAAGATAAGATAAAGATGATAAAGAAAGGTATAATATATGGGGCTAGAGAGAGGGTTCAGCGGTTAAGAACACTGACTGTTCTTCCAGAAGACCCGGGTTCGAATCCAAGCACCCACGTGGCAGCTAACAACTGTCCATAACTCCAGTTCCAGGGGATCCAACAGCCTCTTCTGTCCTCCATGGATATTGCATGACATGGGTGCACTTACCTACATGCAGGCAATACACACATACACATAAAATAAAAATAATAAATAAATTATCTTAAAAAAGAAAGGTGTAATATAAAAATATGATAACAGGGCCAGAGAGACAGCTCAGCAGTTAAGAGCACTGGCTGCTCTTACAAAGGACCCAGATTCAGTTCCCAGATGGCAGCCAGAAGATAGCAATCATCCATAACTCCAGTTTCAGGGTATATGAGACCTTCTTCTGCCCTCCACGGGCATTCATGACACAGGTGCACTTACATATATGCAGGCAATATACTCATACACATATAATAAAGATAATAAATAAAACATTAAAAAAGAAATGATAAGATAATATTATGGGGAATTATTTTAGTTTTATAATTTTACACACAAAAAAAAAACCCCATTTCAGTGTTTGGAGTCCTATCAGAGAGTGACACATAGAAAATCTCACTCACTTTAAAAGCTCCAGTTGCTCCTTAGGCATGCGAAGTCTGGCCTAGACAGAAAAGAAGAGGAGAAATAATTCTCAATCCTATCCATCCAATCAGTTCTCTTTGTTTTGAAATCACACTGGATTCTTGAAACACCCATGGGACACAAGAGCATCTACCATGTGTCTGTGTTCCTTGGCTTGCCAGGTATTTGGCTACCATGTCTGAGAAGGTGACATCACTCACACGTCTAATAGTAAGTGACACTGAATGCAGATGCCTAGATGGAGGCCTTATTTTGCTGTTTCTCAAAATGGTGAAAGGGAGGGAGAGAGAAAGAAAGGGAAAGGAAGGCACCACAAGGCCAGAGCCCAGGTTTGATTTGGAAGGGCCCAGATGGCATGTGGGGACATCGTAAGGCCATGCTGAGTCCTTCAGGCTCATCCATGTAATAAAAATAATAAATAAAATATTTAAAAAAGGAAATGATAAGAAAGGTGAGGTCTGGCACTGCATTTGTAAAGAAGAAAAAGATGTGACTGCCTATGGGCTGGATAAGCGACGACATCAGGAAACAGTAGGCATTCATCTACTGCAATAAGGCATCTAATAAGGAGGCTCGTTGCCCTAGCCAAGATGAGACGTGGGCAGGGCAAATGACTGCTTTGGACATAATGCATAGCTGCAGGGCGCTGTGGTGGCTTCATGAAGGAGACCGACACTGCACAGACAGTGGATGAGGTGCAGAGCCTGTGCTCTGGTACTGTAGGAGGAGGCTACTGCACACTGTTCCTCAGGCCAGAATGGGGTGTGGCCTAGCCATCACCTTGCCAGAGCAGCCAGTGCCTCTGTGTCCATGAGATGATCCTGCCATATGTCTTCTGGGCTCTGATGGTGTGGCCCGGAGGCATCCTGGAGCCCTCCCCAACTGTCAGTGGCCAGCATGACACTTGCACACTTGTACTCATGCACATAATATACTCTCACAATACACTCATAGACTTCTACATACACATATACACATACATACATACACGCACGTACTCCTGCTGTAACCAGAATCCTCAGAAAAGACCAATGCTATTCTTTAGTATGTACACAGAGAAAAGCAGGACAAAAGAGAGAGCCTTGGGATCTGTGATGGTTTGAGTGAGAAATGTGCCCCATAGGCTCATGTATTTGAGCACTCGGTCCCTGGTTGATGGCATTATGAGGGGAGGTGAAGGAGCTATTAGGATGTGGAACCTTGCTAGAAGTACATCACTGGGGCGGTTTGGGGAGTTCTTAGCCTTGCCCCACTTTCACAGCTCTCTCTGCTTCCTTTGTGTGGTTGAGATGTGGTCTCTCGGCTTCCTGCTCCCACTGCCATGCCTCCCCCACCATGGTGGGGATCTAACCCTCTGGAACTGCAAGCCAAATACATTCTTTATTCCTTAAGTTGCCTTTGGTCATGGTATTTTATCACAGCAGCAGAAAAGTAACTAATACAGGGCCCAAACTTTGAAGTGTGTGGGTGTTAAGAGCAGGCTGGTTGGAGATGCAAAGACATGGAAAAGGGTGATTTCTAAGAGGATCTGAGTGGATGGTTGGCAGCACCCACAGAGCAATGGCCGCGTGTCTCTTATTTTCAACTTGCCTCCTGGCATAGTTTTCAGAACATGATTTGTCTTTGGTTCAGGAGTGCTATCTACTTCATTATGTGCCAAAAAAGCAATTCGGATCCTAGTGTGTGGTGGGGGGGGGCGGTGTCAGGGGTGATAGGGAATGAGAAACTGGTTCCTTGTGGTAGCCTTTGGAATTCATTTCATCAGTATGTTCCTCCTGTGGTGCTGGCAAGCATACATCCCGGTGTGTATGGGCAACCTTGTTTTATTAGTATTGAAGTTTTCCCTATGTGCTGGGATGTCTGCTGAGCAGCCCTGCTAGCATAAGCTTCCAGGACACTAAGCTTCCAGAGAAACAAAACTAATACGAAGTGTGTGTGTGTGCGTGTGCGTGTGTGTGTGTGTGTGTGTGTGTGTGTGTGTGTGTATCTAGGATAGATGGATGGCTAGATAAATGATAATAGATAGATAGATGATAGACAGATAGATGATAAATAGAAGATAGATAGATAGATAGATAGATAGACAGACAGACAGACTTTAAGCTATTAGCTCATGTACTTATGAGAAGTAGCAAATCTAAAACTGTCATGGAAAAATGGCAATCTAAAACCCAGGGAAGAGTTGACGGAGTAGCTCAAGTCTATAAGCTATATGGAGAAAGAATTCCCCCTTTTGTGGGGGAATCTCAGGTTTTCTTCTCAAGACCATTAACTAATTGGATGAGACCAGCCACATTGTGGAGACTAATCACCTTTACTTAATTTACAGTCACTGATTTAAATATTAACCACACCTAAAACTTATCTGCACAGCAACATCTATATTGGTGCTTGACTCATATCTGGGCAGTATGACCTAATCGAGCTGACATATAAAATGAGGGTTAATGACAGATAGGCAATGATGTGTCTGCCACTGTCCACCTTGAATGAACATCTGTTTTTCTGAGGATGACTTAAATATCTGGGCTAGCTCCTAGTCTGGACCCTGAATGTGCTGCCCTCCAGCTGTGGAGTTGTCTCAGGCTAGCTCCGTGGGGTTCCGTGCAGCTGACCTTTGGTCCAGGGCCTTGAGCCTATAGATCTCTGTATATCCAGAGTGACAGGGTCTTTTAAGATTTGGAGTGATTCCAGGAATCAACCTATGTATGAACTTTCAGGGGGAATGTCCCCTTACTGGCCTGGAATGCTGCAAGGAACATACTATGCAGCCTCCTCCCTCAGAGGGTCCATGTGGCAATACACACACACATACTTGAATCAAGCAGTTGGAACATGGACTAAGAAAGAGAGGATTTCAGAAGCCCTGAGGGAAGACAAAAGTATGTATCTGATCTGTCAGGTCCAAAAGCACCCACCAGATGGAGCCACCATGTGTTAAAAGGTTATCAACCTTTTAACAGGGGTATCAACCCTTTTGTCTGTCCCTTCTTCCTACAGAGCAGTGGTGAGCGGCCATAGCTCTTTCGTCCTCCCTTGGGTTTTCTGAGGTCTGAGCATACATGGGAGGAGGCTCAGTTGGGAATGGTGGGAGATGCACATGGAGTACAGGGTGGACAGTGACAGGCTCACTGAGATCTCAGGAGTCTGGCAAAGAAGAGTCCTAAACTGAACAGAGATGGGGAAGGTTAGTCTTAAGACTCAGTCCCTTCTCTTGTCCTAGAGCTGTTTTCAGGGAGCCTGCAGGAATCAGAGGTGTGGAGAATTCTGAGAGTCTCTAAGCCATAAAACCACTTAGAAGAACTGCACTTTCTACAAGGTTAGCAATTATCACACAAAACCAAGCTAGACTTACCTTGTAGGATGCTCAAATTTAAATGAGTGACACGCAACAATAACTTAATGAAACATCACCTGGTAATTAGACAGCCGTGAACCATATTCTGCAATTATGGCATATAATTCTCTGAATGTTTGAGGAAACTCTCTTTCTTTAAGCCACTGATGATTTTGAAGTCCTTTAAAAAAAAGACCAGCTCTGATTAAAGAACTTATTTGGAAACATAAAATACCTTATATGTATAAATTAGATTTCCGTAAGTGGAAAGGAGAGATAGTCTTAGAAATATAGGGCTGGGACTATAGCTCCAGTGCTCAGTAGAGCACTTGCCTCATGTGCATGATGCCCTATGCTTAATCCCCAGTACTGCAAAAATATGAGCGAAGCGGTGACTCAGTAGGTAAAGTGCTTGCTGGACAAGCATAAGGACCCGAGTTCGCATTCGCAGCACCCACATAAAAGCTGGCATGGTGGTAGACTTCTATAATCTCAGCTCTGTTAGCAGTGGTGGTGACTGAGACAGCTGAGCTCGTTGAACTTGCTTGCCAACCTTGTCTAGTTGAAGTAGAAGGATCTTGGTTCAATGAGAAATGCTGTCACAAAAAATAAGATGGAGAGTGATAACGGAAGACACTGACATTGACCTCTTGACTACTGCACATGCACACAGGGGCATATGCACCTGAATATATAGGTGCACATACTCATATTGCACACACACGCACACGCACACACACACACACACACACACACACACAGATGAACAGGTCCTTGGGTGGCATCATGAAAGATCGTGAAGGAGGATACTCAGTCAGTCCCTCACAGAAACCACCGCATCAGAGAAAGATTCACAAGAGCCGCTCCTTTGGCATTCTGAAACTCTAGTCAACAACAGATAATGGCATGCAGAAGAAAGTCAGTTAACTTGAAGACAGGACAATATCCTTGTTCTAGTCGGAGGATCAGAAAGATAAAGAAAAGTGAGCAGAGCCTGGGAGACCTGTAGGACCCAGCTAACTGGATTATGCTGACTCCACATCCCCTCTAGGAAGAGGACGGAATGACAGAGAAGAATGAACACGTAAAGCAGCAATGGCAGAAAGTACTGTGGATTGATGAGAAGGACACATCTACACATCCATAAGGCCCAACAAACTCCATGTAAAGCAAGCTATCCACACTGAACCACATTATGCTCAAACTGTTTAGAAGACAGAGGCACAGAGCAGAGCTTGAAAATAGCAAGAAAGAAATGCTTTATCATGAGAAAGGATGCTTGGAGGATTATTATTTGAATCTCATTAGAAACTACAGAGGCCTCAGAGCAGTGGGATGATGTACTTAAAATGCTGAAAGAAAATCAGTATATTTATGGTGCCCAAAAGAACTCTATAGCCAGCAAAACTAGAATTCTTTGCAAATGAAGAGAGGAGGAGGAGGAGGAAGGGGAGGGAGAGGGAAGGGAGGCAGATGAAATCTGAAGATGTTATTGGTCCCAGTCTCATCTTTCAGGCTAAAGCAAAGGGCATTCAAAAGAATAACTCAGAGGGCTGGAGAGATGGCGCAGCACTTGAGAGGATCCAGGTTCAGTTCCTAGCACACACATGGCTGCTAACAGCCATCTGAAACTCCAGTTCCAGGGGATCCAATGCCCTCTTCAGACATCCTCAAGCATTGCTCACACGGTGCATTTACATACATACAGGCAAAACACTCATACACATAAAATAAATAAAATTTTAAGAAAGAATGAGATTAGGTCTAAATAAATGACATTAAAAAAAAAAAAAAAGACTAACTCATGCCGGCTGCTAACAGCCATCTGAAACTCCAGTTCCAGGGGATCCAATGCCCTCTTCAGACATCCTCAAGCATTGCTCACACGGTGCATTTACATACATACAGGAAAAACACTCATACACAAAAAATAAATAAAATTTTAAAAAAGAATGAGATTAGGTCTAAATAAATGACATTAAAAAAAAAAAAAAAGACTAACTCATGCCAATCCCAGCACTCCAGAGGCAGAAACAGGAAGATCTCTGTGAGTTCAAGGCCAGCCTGGTTTACATAACGAGTTCCAGGCCAGCTGGGACTACGGGGGGACCCTGTCTCAAAAAGATGACCTCCCCCCTCAAAAAAATAATTCATTGCCATAATAACAATTCAAGATATCGGGGCTGGAGAGATGGTTCAGAGGTTAAGAATTCTGATTGCTTTTACAGAGGACCTGGATTCCATTCCCAGCACCCACATGGTGGCTAGCAACCACCCATAACTCCAGTTCTAGGGGAACCCAATGCCTTCTTCTGACCTCTGTGGGCATTGCATGACACAGGTGCACTTAACATACATGCAGGCAATATACCCATACACAGAAAATAAAAAAATAAAAATTAAAAAAATAACAATTTAAGATATCCAGTACAGGCAACAACAAACATAAATATAAAAGCTAATATGACAATAGCCTGGGTTGGTATCTTAGTTGCCTTTCTTACTACTGTGGCAAAATGCCAATGGGATCAGCTTAGAGACCTTAACTTAGGTTCATAGTTCAGAGGATGTAGTTTACCCCCATATGGAAGGCACAGCAGCTAGCACAGTTCCATCCATGATGGTGGGAAGTTGTAGCATGGTTTGTCCATGAAGTGGTAGATCAGAAGGAGCTATTCTTGGGCCAGAAGGAGGGCCTGATTATAACCTTCAAGGCCTATCCCTGGTGATCTATTGTCTGCTGGCTAGGTTCCGTACCACCAGCTGGAGACTAAGTGTTCAAACATGAGCCTGTAGGAAATATTTTATATTCAAATCATAACAGATGCTAACTTAATTTCATTTCCTATATGAATTTAAATCATAGCAGATGCTAACTCAGTTCTATTTCCTGTACGAATTTAAAAGATAAATGTATAAAACACAATGCAAAATATATCTATGCTAATGAGTATGGGAGTATTTGTATGCTTTGAAAGCTAATATGATATTAGCTATTTTGTTATTAATTAGGACTGTTGTAATCACCATGGTAACCCCTAAGAAAATATCTAACACACAGGAGTGTGTGCGTACACACACACGCATGCACACATGCATGCACACAAATAACCTTCAAAAGCATATTATAGCAATTAAACAGGAAAGAAGGCAGTAATTAATAAATTAAGAACAACAAAAAGTATAAGACATAGAAGAAAAGATAGAAAAACAGAAGAAGGAAAGTTTCCTGATTGGTAATCAATTTAAATGTAGAAAATTAGTCCTAGGGCTTTGGAGGCTGAGGCAGGAGGATCAAGAGTTCTAAGCCAGCTACAGCAACGTAATGAGATTGTCTCAAAAACAAACAAACAAAGCAAAATAAAACAAAACTCAAAAAGAAAGTAAAAATTCTCCAATCAGGAACCTGGAGAGATGGCTCAGAGGTTAAGAACATTTGCCCCAGGTTTGATGCCCAGCACCCACATGGCTGCTAGCAACTGTCTGTAACTCTAGTTCCAGGGGATCTGCTACCCTTTCTGGCCTCTGTGGCCATTGCGTGCACATTGTACACTTGCGTACATGCAGGCAAGACACTCATACACATAAAATAAAAATAAGAATTAAAATAGTTTTAAAAGTTCTCCAATCAGAAATCAGAGACTGGCAGAATGATTTAAAGAACTGAGCCAGCTCCCTGATGCCTTCAAAGGACTTGCCGTAGAAACTGAAAACCATAAAGAAATGCAGAAGCTTGGGGGATACAGTTTAGCAGTAAAGAATTTGCCTATCATAAATATGACTCTGAGTTTGATCCCCAGCACCACAAACAACAAACCACCAATACACACACACACACACACACACACACACACGCTTACACACAGAGACTGCTAACAATTAAAGAACTACACAAACAGAAAGACAAACGATCAATCTGTGTTCATTAATCAGAAGATTTATGACTGTGAGGATGATAACACTTTCCAAAGTGATCTACAAATTCAAAGGCATGCCAGTCAGAATCTCTTCAGCAATGTGATGCTGGCACAACAAACAGACTTACGGACCAATGGGACAGAATAAACATGCATTCTCTGGCTAACTAAATTTTTGTCATGATGCCAAGACTATTAAAATATTCCCATGGGAAAATTATCTTTCCACCAAATGATCCTCATACCACATATTCACATGTGAAAGAATGAAATTGGACTCTTACTTTGAACCACATGAATGCAAACGTGTCAATTATTTAAAAATAATTTCTAAAACCACTAAAAATTTCTAAAACCACAAGACTAGTAAATGAATACAGGATGAATATTCAATTGGGATTTTGCAACGGATTCCTTGATAAATGCCATCAAAAGTGATCCACAGGACATGACAGAGAAAAAAGAAAAAACAAGAATCAAAGAAAACATTCTAAAATCATATATCTGAGGAGAAATACAATAAAAATGAGCTAAAGACAAATAGACAAGTATCCGAACAGCTCAAAGGAAAGGTCTGCAAACATGTTCGACACCATTAGTCATTAGGGACATGCAAATCAAAACCACAGTGACATACCACTGTGTAACTACCAGCATGACTATAATTAAAGAGGGAAATGGCAGGGGATGGTGGGAACACAGAGAAAGTAGACTCCCTACACACACTGCTGTGGCAATGCTCAGTGGGGCACCACTGTCAACAGTTCTTTGCTGGTACCTCTACTACTAGGTATTTAGTGAAAGGATAAAAAACAAGTGTTCACAGCCCCACTGTCTCCAGGAGCCAAGAGGGGACAAAATCATGTCAAAAATCATAAAAAGTGTGGTATATATTCACACACTATAAGGTTGTTTAGCCACAAAAAATGAATGAGGGATTGATACACTCATCAACATGGATGACCTTTCAAAACAGGGTCAGAGCAACCAGACAGAAAAGTCACATTAAATGCCTACTATCTCACAACCCAACCTTAAAAAAATAAGTGGAAGGATAGTAGAACATATGTAAAAGAAGAGGGGGTATACTAAGGATTAAAGGATTAAGCAGGGATGGGATGGAGGGTGAGGGTAAATAGGGGATAATGAGTGGACTAACCAAACTAAGGCTCCATGAGAAAGTCTTATGGAAACTCAGCACTTTGTAAGCTAATTTCAAAATACAACTCTAAAATGAATTTGAATGGAATTAATTACCCTGCATGGGTGGACAATGTCCCTCCCAGAAGACATGGATTATTAAATGAAAAACACAGGATGAGGCTTGGGATACCTCCTTCCAAGTTATTGGTGAGGGAGCATTAGTGGTCTACAAAACAACACAGACTATTGCTGTTGGCCTCAGTTATCCTCCATAAGTACATGGTAAGACCCTGTTGCTGGAGACATCATCCACTTTGGTGCAGAATGTAGAGAAATCAGTCTCAAACCAAGCAGGAAACTTCCTCTCTGCTGGCTAGCATTCATGGTGCCTGCAGGTGCTATGCAGGCTACTGGGGAAGAAAACACATCACCGGTCTTACCTAGCACTGGACGCTGCATGCTGCAATACCGACCTGCCAGGCAAGATGTGCCTACAAGTGCAATGGTGGATGACAGTTATGGGGTAATTAACAGCTTTCTGATTGGATTTGAAGCCTGCTCCACAGGAGGGAATTTCATGTCTGGTACTATAATCTTGATCAAAAGCCCCATTGCTGGGGAGGTCACAGGCCTTAGGAAAAAACTGCTATTGTTATTTTGCAAAATAATCACTCTGCCAAAATACCTTCTAAATATTTATGCTTATACTCATAGACCCGAGCACTCAACCTTGGTCAGGGAAGTTTCTTTTTGTGATGGACCAGTAGTCAATATAGAGACATAAAACTGGTCAAAATGATGAGGATAAGAGACTTGAATGCTCAGCCCTAAATGGGACCTCTACATTAATCCCACTACAAGGCTCAAGGAACATTTCAATAGAGGAGGCAGAAAAAATGTCAGAGTCAGAGGATGTGGAGAGCTGTGAAAGACTGTCTTCAGGATGTGACATGGCTACCCCAATCAGATTCACAGCAGCTGTGGTGATCTGTGCAAGAGCTGCACAAGATCAAGCCAGCCAAAATCCAGCTTCGATGAGAAAGATGATCTCCAGGTCCCACCCCTTACTGAGGAGCTAGTGGCAGTGGATAGTTGCTGGGGGAGGGGTAGTTATTCTTTGTGAGGATGTAGCCATATCCAGTGAACAGCCCCACACCAGTGTACATGGGCAGCACCAAGTGGATTTAGCACTCCCAAGTGGACTTGGGAGGGGGTGAGTTGGTGAGAATATGGGGAAAGTTGGAGGGGAAAACAGGGTAGATAGGATCATATTTCATTGTATATATGTATGAAACTTGGAGAAATAAGAAAACTTTAAAAATAAAATAAAAGGAACCAAAATAAATATATGTATGAAAATGCCATAATGAAACCCATTATTATGTATTAATATATGTGAATAAATTATTTTAACAAATGAAAAAAAATCCCAACTAAGCCACTCAATTAGTAAAATGTAAAATATAAAATGTATCCATAGGAAATATATTGGGTATTTTTTTGTATTTATCTATCATCTATTTATCATCTATCTGTGTGTGTTTTGTATGTGTGTGTGTGTGTGTGTGTGTGTGTGTGTACATACATGTGCCAGAGCACATACGCAGAGATCAGAAACCAATCTGAGGGAGTTGGTTCTCTCCTTCCACCATGTGGGTCCCAGAGATCAAACTCAGGGTGCCAAGCTTGGTGGCAGAGGCCTTTTTACCCACTGAGCCATCTACGGCCCCATATTAGAGATTAACTTTCACACAACTTCTGTTACTTTAAACTATACTTTCTAAATTTTCTATGGAAGAAGCTTATCTTACTTTCACAATGGGAGATAAAAGGAGGGGGAAAAAGCTTGGAGAATGTGCAAGTTAGTTCCAGGGCTTCCTGTGGCATTTACTTATAAACACGAGACATCACACTGAGGTCTCTCTCACTGCATACTCTGAAACAGGTTTAAGAATTATTATTGGTAAGACTTACCAACAAGAAGAAAAGATGTTGTAAATATTATACTTAGGATAATCTTCCATGACCGAGGTAACCTACAAAGAATAAAAATCATCTAAAAAGAATTTAACAATGTAATCCATTGCTATTAACCTTTAACTTGGACTTTAAACTAGTCAGTACATCCAAGTGAACAAACTTGATTATTCTCATTCCTGTTTACGCTCGATTGATTCATGAACTCATTTAATTCCTAATTATCTTTTAAACAAAGATTTTCATGATAGATTTATGTGCATATACACTCACATTTCTCCACCACATGTAACTATGATGCTATTGGGTTCCTTTTTATGTTCTTTAAATGTTTATAAGCCAACAAAAATAGTATTCCAATTTGGCAAACTAAAACTTTTTCTTAAGAGTTAAAAAAATGATAGGGGGTGCTGGAGGGATGGCTCAGCCGTTAAGAGCATTGGCTGCTCTTCCAGAGGATCTGGGTTCAGTTCCCAGCATCCACACAGCAAATAACAACCATCTGTAACTCCAGTTCCAGGGAATCCAACGCCCTCTTCTGGCTTTTTTGGGCATTGCATAACACAGGTGCACTTACAAACATGCAGGCAAAACACCTACAGAAACACACACACACACACACACACACACACACACACGCAAAGAGTTAGAAAAACAAGATTGTGTCAGACCATTTGTTACTTGTAAGTGGCAACTGGACACAGCAGAAGTTCTGCGCCACAGTTTAGGAAAAACCAGTGACATTGGTCACAGAATGTCAGTGTGGCTTTCAGCTTTTACCTGTTGATTCTGAGCTAAACTCCACCAAGTAAAGGCAGGTCTGTGAAGAAGGGTAAGGAGGGTGACCTTTTATCTGGAAATGATGTTGATATTTGGACATGCACAGTTATTCAAATTTCATTTAATATCGTGTTTAACTGTCAGTAATCAGATTAATTTATATTGTTTGCAAGTTAGTTGGCCAAAGAGCGTAGAACTTTTGACTGTCACTAATGCGCTTTGGAGTTTTAATGTCAATAGGACCTTATGAAACCGCCTTCCACATCTCATACCCTGCAGGGAAATTTAAACTCCCCAGATACAGAACCAGGAGCAGCTCAATTCCCTTACTTAAGGCAATCATGCTGAGCAGCCAGGCAGGACTCAGTGGAGTGCAGAGCTTGACAGTGCTAAAGGCAACTCAGAGGAGACTGGTCCTAATTCTCCTCCCTCCAACGCAGCATTTTATTTTAAAACTATAGATGGTAGAGGATTCACTGTCTAAAGAATATTATTTTGACGTTAATTACAATTCCACTTAGAGAACTGAATTAAAGGAAGATTACTTCATTACCATATTCACCAAATTATGCTTTTTAAAAATATTTTATTTATTAGTTTTAATTTTGTGTGTATTTGTGTATTGCCTGTGTGTCAGTAAGTGCACCCATGTCATGCAATGTCCACAGAAGACAGAAGAGGCTGTTTGATCCCCAGGAACTGGAGTTACGGACAGTTGTTAGCTGCCATGTGGGTTCTGGGATATGAACCAGGGTCTCCTGCAAAAACAGTCAGTGTTCTTAACCGCTGAGCCAAAATTATGCTTTTTTTAAATAAAAATAAAAATCTTAATTAGAAAGCTTTGTTGCCAGGATCTGCTTTGCAAAATGCTTTCTATGCCTTCACCTAGCCTATGGCGTTCTGTCGCCTAAGGCCAGATGCATCATTACTGACTGATTTTCACATGCTGTTCTTCTTGAACTGACAAACAGCACAGGTTCTGTGTGAGCACTTTTTTTTTTTTTTTTAACTGTTGCCAATGGGGTCCTTTTTTCAGTATTTTCAGTTTTTGTTTTTCCAAAGGACAGCTGATTTGACTCATCCAAGTGGACAGGGCTTCCTCTCCTTACAGAAAAGTTTCCTACAAGAGGAATCGCAGTTATCAGCTCAAAATGGGCAGCCTCTCTCAGGCTGTTTAGTTACTTCTTACCCAAGGGTGCAATAAATGTCCCTGTGGTCTCGGACGCAAAACCCAGCATTAAGCTCTCCATGCCCCTGAACCTGAACAAGCCAGCTCTCTACAGCATGCCATCTGTAAGCTACTGATATTGAGGTTCAGTCTTTTAAAAAGGATGGCTTCTCCGTCCTATTCTCACCCCTTGTTCACTGTAATTAATCTAAATATCATTCAGTAGCAAACATCCTGTATGCCACTAGAAGCAAAAGCTTCAGAGGAAACTGGAAATCATCTTCTCCAAAAAGGAAGAAAATTTGTCATGTTATTTTACAGACAAACAAAGCCTAAACATACAGAATGTGTATAACATGAGATCTCAGCAGGAGTGATGAGACATGCCTGTATTTCCAGCACTCAGGGCAGAATGATTACTGTGAGTTTGAGCCCAGTCTAGGATACTAAGTGAGACCCAGTTTTCTATGGTATATGCCTGTAATTCCAGCGCTCAGGGCAGCATGAGTACCATGAGTTTGAGGCCAGTCTGGTGTACTTTGTGAGACTCTGTCTTCAAAAACAAAAAGAAAAAAGAAAGACATACAGAAAGCCCTCCACAAAGTAACATACCCATTCACCTCGGAGGGTTCCTGCCCCAATAGCAGTACATCATCACTCATACTGCTGCTGGACTCTTCAGAGCAATCCTGCAAATCTGTTCACTCCTCCTCCGCCTTGGTCTTCCACTCACTGACCCCCATGCGGGTCACAAAGAGCTCACAAGAGGGAGAATACCATTGTTTTCTCTTTCCTATTTTAGGGCAAACAGGAAGCTAGACTTAATGTTTTTGATGTAAGTCTTCTTATTTCACAGATTCTTCTCCTCCAAGAGCCAAACAATGAGTGAGAAAATTTTGAGAAATCCTGTAACGCTATTGCATCATTCCCTATGATACCTCATAATGACCATTAAGTCGCCACGCCCAAGCAGAGGCAAGCTACACACAGCAGCCTGTTTCCCATACGCCTCACTGTGTCAGACGCTGAGCCAGTGAACAATGGAAAGATCTCCTTCATGACTACTGTTTTGCTACAGGAAATCTAGATACTTTTCTGTGTTTATTCAATTCTTAAAGAAAGATATCAGAAAGACAATAAAAAGAACCTCAAATTCCCCAGACTCCTCTGATTTTCCCCAGAGATAACTATAACTTGAAAATTGATATAATCTATTTCCATAGATTTAAAGAATTTGCTACACATATATATTCACAATAACAGATCTTAGGTTTTAGAGAAAATAAATTATATTCTACTATCAATATCTATCTTGAGATATATTAACGCAGTTCACTCATTTCACCTACTGTCAAGAGAGCTTTCTCCTTGCGGGGGTGGGGGGTAAGGTCTACGAAGTATATACTCCTCTCCTATAAGGTTCCAATGACAAACCAAAATTTGATTCCACCAAAGTTCATCCTGGGGGAACCAATGATTTTCTTAGGGTTACTAAGAGCAAGGGTGAGGGGTTGTAGGCAGAAGCATGAGTGACCATAAAAACAGCAGCACTAGAAGGCCTGTGCCCAGTATGGGTCATGACTTCCCCATAGCTGCGTAGATGGAACCCCCCTTCCTGTCTTCTCCAGCCTATGTACTCTAGCCCCTGCCCAGGCCACATACAATTAGGGCAGAATTATTGGGAGGAGTAGATGGATACTCTGGTGAGAGTCCCATGACTGTCTCTACCCCCTCCTTCTATGAGGGAAGGTCAACAGTTCACAAGCCCAGCTGGGGTGATCTTTTGGAAGTGGTCACAGCTGATCTGGTGAAGATGGTGGTTGTTTGGCTCAGAGGATAGACCTGTACAAAACCTGGTCTATAGTATTTAATTATTACCCAGCAATTCATTTACCCATTTTCTATAGCTTCATGCTTAGTTTGTTTGGGGCTTTTCAGTTATATAAACAATGCTTACTGTGTGTTTCTGCATGTACATCTGAGTGATTTTCTAGTCATACATCTAGAAATAGAATAGCTGCATGACAGGATGAGCTGACTTATTTGAGGTATACTCTTCTAGGGTGATAGTTATTTGATGCTCAACCACTTAATGGCCTCTTGTTAGATCTATTTTAAAGTGAAATTTTGGACTGACTTCCTTTGCCAGCAAGGGAACAGAACAGGAAGTCCCCTGCTCATACCCTCACAGCAGTGACCATTTGGGGACATTGTGATTACAAATGCTTTTATGCAAGCTTTGGGATCCAGGTAAGAAGTTGTGAGACACCAGTGGAACCTGGACTGAGGAGGCCCATTGTGAAAAGGAAAGCCCATTTTGCCTGGTGAAGAATCACCGACCATGGCCCCAGATGAGAACCCAGAAACAGCTCTTTCCACTTGAGATCTGAGTGGAGATCCTGACGCATCTCTGCAGTGCAGGTCTTGAAGCCATCAACCATGACCTGGGATTGTTTAATTTACACAGACACCTGGCAAGAGACATGCCCATCCATCTCCCAAGAGACAGTCTTGACCCCATAGACGAGCCTACACATGCTTGACATTCCACTCCAGTCTTTGAGTTGAGGTCTGGGAGCAGTTACACCCCCTCAGGAACTTATTGGGAAATGAACCCATCCTACCCCCAGAGGCAGATCTGCTGTCCTTAGTCCCAGATGAGCCTACACATGCTTGACATTCCACTCCAGTCTTTGAGTTGAGGTCTGGGAGCGGTTACACCCCCTCAGGAACTTATTGGGAAATGAATCCATCCTACCCCCAGAGGCAGATCTGCTGTCCTTAGTCCCAGATGAAGGCTCTGAAGCAGCCCTGTGGGTACCAGTCCTCCTCACTGGTGGCTCAGAGGTAAGTAGAGCCTGTTTAGGGACCTACCCAATGAAACAGTATAATCACCTTCCGACCCAGTAGGAGTTACATCTGTTACATCTGTTCATAGACCTGCTATCTGAAGACCTCACTGCGTCACCTTCCGACCCAGTAGGAGTTACATCTGTTACATCTGTTCATAGACCTATCTGAAGACCTCACTGTGTTCCTTGGAATTCACTTGCCACAGTGTTTAGTCTGCTGCTCAAAGTGCTAGAGCATTCTGATCCACCTAGGTGCAAAGCACACCTTAGCCTCTAGTAACAGGTTAGATAACTGAAGACTGAGCAGAAGTTGTGTTATTTGACTAAAACTTGCCCTAGAGAAATTCTCATCACCTGGGTACCCAACAGGATAAAGTGTTTACCTGTTGAAATCTGTAAAGATTTGGGAAAAAATGTTAGCTATTTCAAAGGTACAGCTACCTAAACAAGCCTACATAGATAATAAAGAATCAGATAAGCATGGTGCCCTCAGAGAAAATAAAGCTTAAGTAACTGACCCCAAAGAAATTGAGATGGGCAAATTTCCTGATGAAAAACAAAAAAGAGTTTAAAGAAGCTCAGTGAGGTGCAAGAGAATATTAGACAAAAATCAGGAAAAAGCAGACAGACAAATTAGAAGTGAAATGAAACCGATACAGAGGGACAAGACACCTGCTGCTAGTGAATGCATTCCAGGCAGGATAGGGAAGCTGCACCACAAAATCCCCACTGTATGGTGATCCAGTAAGATCTGCATAATGACAAGCCAGTTAACATGCTAAGGTGGATGGGGGGATGTCACAGGGTCCCACCTCAAGATGAAGAGCTGCAGGCAATCAATGGATGCTGAGGGAGGGAGAATCAGTTTTCTCTAGGGACGAGCTCCCTGAGTGCTTGTCTAATCTGAAGCAGGCAGCCCTAAACACAGGTACATGAGCACCGTGAAATGGACTCAATATATTATATACATGCATGTATATATAATATATATGCATGTATATGTAACAATAATAACCAAAGAAGAGAACAAGAAATTGAGAGGGAGTGGGGGACATGGGAGGAGTTAGTGGAGGACTAGGAGGGATGGAAATAATGCAAAGACAAAACTCATGCATGCAGTTTTCAAAAAAACTAAAAAATACATAGCCAGAAATCCTTGACCCAAACAATCCAGTGACAAACTGAAAATTTCCACAAAGAGATTCAGCAGAAGATTCAGTTATACAGAGGAAAGAATCACCAAGTGAGAGATAATATATCTGAGGGTAAAGGAGATGGCTCAGCAGGCAAGTCTAATGACCCAACTTAGATCCTTGGAACCTGAGGTAGAGAGAGAGAACTGACTTCTGAAAGTTGTCCTCTGGTGTCCACATGCTCACTATGTCATGTGCATGCACACACACACACACACATAATAATAATAATAATAAAATTAAAATTAAAGAATAAAAAAGAAAGTTATAACAGATATTTAATTTGAAATTAGTCAGTTTGGGAGAGAGGAAAATGAAAATGAGTGACGAATGTATATAATCTATAAAACACCATGAGAAATGAATCAATGCACAATGAGAGTTCTACAGGACAGAAGAAAAAGACAGACTATTTAAATAAATACTGGTTGGAAACATCTCATATCTTGGCAGTGAAAAGTCAAGTAAGATCAACACCCTAAACATTACACAGAGATGGATTGTAACCAAACCATCAAAAGACAAAGAGAGAATTTTGAAAGCAGAGAGAGAAAAGTGGCTTCCCGCGCTGCAGACCGTTGGCAGAAAAAGCTGGCACGCCTAGAAAGAGGGAGATGATGCACTCGAAGTGCTGAATGAAGAAACAGTGCTCAGGAATACTTTACCTGCTGAACCTGTCCCCCAGAAACAAGTGGGGAGAGGCAGGAGAGATGGCTCAGCAGTTAAGAGCACCTGCTGCTCTTGAAGAGGACCTGGGTTGCTTCCCAGCACCCACATCATGGCTCACAACTGCCTGTAACTCCAGCTCCAGAGGACCCAACATCCTCTTCTGGCCTCAGTGGGCACTGCAGGTGCATGGTGCATATGTACATGCAGGCAAACTCTCATGTACAGAAAAATATTATTTTTTAAGGTGAGATAAACACATTCTCAGAGACAGAAACAAGGAAGTCATCACCATGTTTAATGTCTTGTAAGACCTACCTTACAAGAAACTCAGAGCAAGTATTGGTTAAACTAAAGGGAGCTACTACCAACAAGCAAACAAAAAATAACTCACAAACTCATAGGTAAACTCAGAATACAGCAACACTGGAAAGGTGATGGGTAATCAGTTTTGACTCTAGCATGCAAGGTAAAGAGTAAAAGGATTAAAAATAATGCAGTCACAATACCTTGTTATTAGACACAGTATAAAAAGATGCAAAGTGAGGCATTAAATAAAAATATCAAAAGTGGAAGTGTAATAGTACATAATTGATCAGATCAAAATAGACCATTTTAACTGCAATGTTTTATGTGAGTGTCACATACAAAGGTGGTGGCGCCCGCCTTTAATCCCAGCCCTTGGGAGGCAGAGGCAGGGGAATCTCTGAGGTCTGCGCTAGCCTGGTCTGCATAGTGAATCACGACTGGCGGTGGCCAAAGGGGGACCCTGTCTCAAAAAGACAAAAAAAAAAAAAAAAGAAAAAGAAAGAAAAAGAAAAAAGGCAATGAAGAAGAAACCATAGCACATGACTACAAAAAGCAAACCACAAAGAAAAAGAAACACAATTTAATTTAAAAATTCCAAGTTAGTAAGATTTTTGTTTCTCTCTCTCTCTCTCTCTCTCTCTCTCTCTCTCTCTCTCTCTCTCTCTTTCTTTTTTTGTATATAAACTCTTTACTAACAGAACAGCCGGCCGACTCCTTTCTTTTTGGACACACCCACAGTATGGCCTCCGCAGCCAGCGGACCCGGCGTGCTGACCTCAGACCCGAAGGCGCCAGATGCAGCACAGCCCCCGGTGGACTCTAATCTTCTTCAGTC